ACACCCACACCCACACACCCACACCCACACCCACACCCACACCCACACCCACACACCCACACCCACACACCCACACCCACACACCCACACCCACACAGCCACACCCACACACCCACACCCACACACCCACACCCACACACCCACACCCACACAGCCACACCCACACACCCACACCCACAAACTCACACCCACACCCACACCTCATAATCAATTTGATATGCACATTTATACAGTACCCTTTTTACATAAAATGGGCATGCTTTACAAATTCTCACTCAATTTCAGAGATTAGGTGACAATGGAGTAGAATAACTTTCGCCACTCAGGAAGATGATTACCACTGCCGTAACCGCCAAACAACGATACGTACACTGTCGTTTCCTGCAGTTTACGACTGTAAATTCACCATTTCGCAGCGACCGTATTACGGCTGTTTTTTTGTCATATCGTATGCGGTTAATAAGGGTCGTAAACTGCCAGAAAATCGAGTATCCGATCGTTTACGCTCATTTACTACACGATAAAATACGACCGTAATACGGCCGCTACTAAAAGGGTCAAATAAGATAACAAAAACGACCGTTTACGACCGGGTTTGTCAGATCTGGACATTCGTAAGTTAAAAAAATTGTTGCAATTTCGAATAATCGACTCTATTCAACTTGGCCGGTTCTTCGAACTTATTTACATTCTTGACGACTCAGAGAGTGAATTATAATATTAGCTAATACCGCAATGATATAGATTTCTGTGTGCCTTGATGGGCTTTATTGACCGGAATGAAACTGAATTGAATCCCTTTTAAGGTATTATTTAATGGAGTAACATTAGAGCATAGAGTGCGCGTGTGGGCGTTGCTCAAACGAAGAGTAACATCCCACACCCACACCCCTCTCTCTACATCAAAAGGGTATTCCACAGCTTCGCATGAAAGTCCAATCTACACAACTCTTCAATGGTTCAAATAATTGAGAAAACATTTTTCGTTGATTCATAGGAGCTAACCTCCAGTATCATTCCATAGTTTTTCTAGTGCAATTCTTGTTCGAAAACATTTCTAAAAACACTGTGCATAGCTGAATTGTTTTCTTTTTGTAACTTTCACCAAAGTTACATCGCAAGAAACTGTTACAATTTGTCGTTCTGCATTCTCCCTAAGTATATATGAATGACTCATAAATTGCGCAAGAAGTTATGATTCAATATTTACATTTGTATTGCGAAAAACGAAGGTAAGAACATATTTTCTTTCTTAGTTTCATAAGCCAACGAGCAATGGAGACACCCGTTTTGCTAACAGATAAACAGGTGCAGGAGTTTTTAATCAATGGTTATTTAATTCTTCAGTCAAACTCTCTTGATGGAAATTTTCACTCAACAATCTTTACTGAAGCTCAATCAATTTTACGGCGAGATGCCAATCCAGGCAACAATATCCTTCCACGGATTCCACAACTTCAGTATGTATTCGATGATCCAGTAGTTAAAGGTGCCATAATAAGTTTATTGGGTCCAACTTATACCATGCAACCACATCGCCATGCTCATGTAACACATCCCGGAACTGCAGATCAAACATGGCATAAAGACAGTTATTTTGGTTACCAAAAGCCACTTCGTCATCATCAGTTGCGTTATGTCATGGCTATGTATTATCCTCAAGATACAACTATTGAGATGGGACCCACTGCTATTAAACCTCGAACACAATACACTGTTATAGATCCGAAGAAATGCTCAGATTACGAAACACAAGAAACTCCTAATAAAGAAAATGACGATAAAGATATCTATCTTGTTTGTACAGCTGGTACTGTGTTATTAATTCATTATGATATTGTGCACAGAGGAACAGCCAATCGAACACGTTGTTTACATCGTTATATGTTTAAATTTCAGTTTACTCGACTAGAAGAACCATCTCAACCAACATGGAATCATGATCCAGAAAACGCCTGTTACGATGCAGCTGACGCAGGAATATTACAACCGATTGTCAAGCATATTTGGAACTGGATGCTATGCCGTGTCATCACGTTACAACAACCTCCAATTGATCAAGATATCAGCACGTGGAAAATACAGCTTAATGATCAAGATGGAAAAATTCGTCTTAATGCAGCTTATAATTTAGCTATGAATAATGAATACAATATCTTAATCGAACGATTATATAAGAACAAAGGAACTTCGCGCTTTGAAGCGGCATATGCATTAACGGCTTGTCGATATAATAAAGAGGCAATCGCTGAATTACAATCAGTGTTAATCAAAGGAGAAAATAATGAATCTATAGCATATTGTATAGCATTTATCTTTTCCGAAATGGGTTCAACAGCATTGGATACATTACCATTATTGATACGCATCGTTGAAACAAATCATTCGAGCTTAGTGAAACAATACTGTTGCGAAGCATTGGGAACTATCCAATTAAATACACAGGAATATATTGATATGGTCGTACGATGTTTGACAAAAGTTCTTGCTGATCGAGATCAGCACGAAGATACTAAAGAAGCATCTCATATCAGATTTACGGCTGCATTATCCTTAGCTAAACTTGGTGTCAAAGCAATACAAGCAATACCTAGTTTAAAAGACGCACTTTATCTGGATCAAAATCGATATGTAAACGCGAATGCATTACTCGCTTTGAAAAGAATCGGAACGAATGACGCGTTTAATATTGTTTTGCATTATCTTGAAATATCACGGTGGTGTGCAAAGACAACAGCAGCTAGTCCATATTAAATACATTCATTTATCAAAAAAAACGTTTATTTCTGACATTGTATCGATCACAGTTCAAAAGAGTTCTAACGTAAGTTGTGTTCAAAGCTTACGAAGCAAGTTAACTGTTGATGTTGATTATCGTCTAAGTTCGGTAGGTGTGGGCGTGTTTGAAAAGAACCAACACCTGCAGCCACCGACCCCACAACACCGAAACTGACACCCACACCCACCCTCGCTATCCTGTTCACATCAAAAGTTATTCAAAAACGAACCATTGCTGATATATTTCGAAACGGATAATACTTCTGTTGACGATATTTTAATAAGTATCTAATTAAACGCATTAGTAATCAAATGATCTTTTTGGTAATCTCGCTATGAAGACCATTCATTTAATGGTTAATCAAATTTAAAAAATATATAAATTCTTGTTTTTTTGCCGCATTGAGTAATATTCTTGGTTCATATCCTGCTCAAACAAGGCCACTATTCATATTATTGATCGATTCTTTTCTCTGTTTGTGCAAATCTGGAAAATGCAGAATTGAACAACATCGTAAAATGGGTCATTTCTTAGTTGTTTTCTTTTATTTCCATTTAGCCTTACTGTATGAAACGTTATTTAACAAATAGAAAGTAAGCTGACAACATTTTTTTCTCTCCTAAAAATCTCTTCTCAATGAAGGAAAATCAGACGAAATCAAAAATCTTTTAGTTTATTCTGAGGATGACAAATAAACCAAGTCGCTCTTACTTAAGTATATCTTTTCGTTATTCAGATAGACCATCTCATGGTTGCAGGATCCTCTGCATACTGTAGCTATGTCTTGTTTCATCATAAGTATGTCTACATTAACTTTTCTTTTCTAACGATAAATATAATTGAACGAGTCAGCGGTAAGGGTGTGGGGTGTTGGTGTGGGTGTATGGGTGTGGGTGTGGGTGTGGGTGGTGTGGGTGTGGGTGTGGGTGTGGGTGTGGGTGGTGTGGGTGTGGGTGTGGGTGTGTGGGTGGTGTGGGTGTGGGTATAAATAATAGATACAAGACCCACACCCACATCCCCACCTCCACCCACACCCACACCCACACCCACACCCACACCCACACCCACACCCCACCCACCCTCTGGAGTGTGGGCGCGGGTATGGATGTGGGTGTGAGTGTGTGGCTGTGGCTATGGCTGTGGGTAAGAGGAGAAGTACACCCATACTCACACTCACACCCACACCCACACCCACACCCACACCCACACCCACACCCACACCCACACCCACACCCACACCCACATCCACACCCACACCCACACCCACACCCACACCCCAACCCA